GAATTTTCTTAAGAATCAGAATGCTGCTTAACATTTCTGCAATGTTGAATGCTGCTGTTCATCACCTAACAAAATCTTCTCTTTGCATTCCATTTCTGAAGCACATACAATGAAGAGTTAATAATCAACTACAGAGCTAATTGTGTTCATAAAAACCAGTTTCACATACATATTGAGATTATATCCAACACTGGTTAAATGAAACAGAAAATTGTAACAGTGATTTAGCACCAGAATTAAGTCAAGGGTCCATGAGGGTCAGGATAGAGAATATGTATTTTCATGGAATGCTATCTAATTGTAAAACCTTCTCTCAAGGGAACAATGGCTTTTTTTTTAGTTTTCTTTTTCTCACAACTTGCAAACACACCTGTAATTCATTGCAGAACAGTAACTCGTGCAATTCTTCAGCTATGTTCAAAGGTGAGAAAGGTTTATCAAAGTAGATGAAGAGATACAGCAATCTATAAAGTCACTTATTATTTACTCTAAATGAAAAGTGTAGAGTTATTTTATCATATTCAGAAGTTATTAAGGTTCATCTAGGTGACAGATTCTTGCCTTAAATGGATGATATAAAGAAAGACTTATTAGAAGGAAGAGGTGTTTTCAGAAACCAGTGAAGGTTTCTTAAGGAAGGAAGGAATTGGGGGTATTGGTGGACAACTAAATGAACATGAAGCCTGGTCAGCAGGTCAAGGGAGGTGAGTCTCCCTCTCTACTCTGCTCTGGTGAGACCTCACCTGCAGCGCTGTGTTCAGAGACCAGGGCTCCAGGTGTAAGAAAGACATGGATCTGTCTATGAGCAGAGCCATGAAGACGATCAGAGGGCTGAAGCACCTCCTCTACAGGGACAGGCTGAGAGAATTGGGGCTGTTTAGCCTGGAGGAGAGGAGGTTCCAGAGAGACCTTATAGCAGCCTTCCAGTACCTGAAGGGGGCTACAGGAAAGAAGAGGAGGAATTCTTTAGAGGAAATGTAGTGATAGGATGGGTTCCGACTGAAAGAGAGTAGATTTAGATTAGGTGCATGTCAAAAATTCTTCCCTGTGAGGGTGGTGAGACGCTGGAACAGATTGCTCCGAGAAGCTGTGGATGTCCCAGCCTGGAGTGTTCAAGGCCAGGCTGGATGGGGCTTTGAGCAACCTGGTCTAGTGAAGGTGTCCCTGGCCATGGCAGGGATAGTTGGAACCAGATGATCTTTGAGGTCCCATCCAACTCAAACCATTCTATAACTCTATGATGTCTACATCATAGTTTGAAGAACTTGTATCCTGTATTTTAAAGCCAATATATTAAGCCAGTATTTTTAGACTTGCATTTTTAAAGCCAAATTCTATTTAACCACTTCAAAGTAAAACTTTTTTAAAATTATGAATGCTTCAATTTTTTTTGTTGATCAGCATTTCTAAAGTAAAAGTAGTTATTTTCACTATAAAGAAAAGAATTTACAAACCAGAGTTCAGACACTCAGTTTTGCAGATTCTGAATACGATGACTGAAATACCATTATTAATGAACAGAAGTTAAAAACTCATGAGAGATTAACTGTCTACTGAAAAAGCTGGGATGAAATTGGCTCCAGTTCTATATGCCACAGTTTTAATCTAAATTTTCAAGGCAGACATTTTAAAACTTTCGACCATGCTGCGACAGCTAAACATTTCATAGAATCAAAGAATGATTCAGGTTGGAAGGGATCTCAGAAGGCCAAACACTGCAAGCTCTTGTTTAAAGCAGAGTTAGCCATAAGATCGCACATTTTTCCTTCCATGTAACGCACAGCGCTCCGCAATGGCCGTCTCCGATTCCACGTGCTTCCTGAACAGCCTGCTACAACACCTGGCACCTGTAAGCCAGTTGAAACCTGGAAGAGAAATTCCACTAGCATACAAAGAACAGCTTCTCAAGGTGATGTGGTAAGATCACATTACACAGCCCTCTCCTTTGTTCGTAAGGGCTGCTCTTAATCTACAGGTGAAATTTAAAGCTTTGTACACTAATTACAAAGCCGAAACAGTTCACTTTATGAGAACTGGAGTCTGTTCCCCTGGGTTATGATATAGTTTGAAAGAGTTGGTGTGATGCTTCAAGTAACAAAGAGAGAAGAGGAAGGTTAGATGTTTGTAGCCGTTTCTAGGAAGTAAAAGAGCAGTGATTATTGTCAAACAATACCTAGAGACAGCAGACGGCTGACATCTGTGAGGAGATAGTCTATGTTACATAGAGATAAAAGATGCAAACATTTGTCAGTTAAATAGCTATCAGACCTGCTTGGAGGAGAGAACTTCTGGTATCTACTGATAAGTCCATAGAAGTAGGAGATGTGCAAAAATGCAGTGAAGGCGGCTCAAAGGGAACCAGATAGACTTGTCTGCAAAGCTGAAAAAGCTGAAGTTGGAGAGACCAGAATGTTTTCACAGTGACTTTCACTAGTAAAAAGCCAGGCCAGGCTCAGGCTCTGTGTCTACCCATGCCTTTCCTGGAGATAGTACTGAAACTCGAGTATTCAGCAAAGGCTTTACCCATGGTCTTTCTTCATTGCAACTGTATCCAGAAGATACTTCCTTTCTTAGCTTGCTCGTCCAACACGAGCGTCAGTAAAGCAGCCCAGGACAAAGAAATGACAATAGAGAAATCAGAGCTGCATGCTTGTATCGACATAGGTGGCACTCAGAGGCTTCAGCTACAGATACTGCTATTCATAGGGAGAAAACTACCTGTGCTTTTTGATAGAAATAGCTAGAATATGAAGAGAAATATCTTCAAAGTTCCTAATGAAGGTAAAACTTATTATTACAAATCAACTCTTCATGTCAAATGCTAATTTTGTTTCCTCCAATCTGCAGCGTAATACCTTAGGTGCCAAAGTTCTTGGGTAATATTCTAAAACAGCAAGAACCATGGAAAAATTTACTTTTTGTTAAATTACTTGTATTATACATTATCCTGATCATTTTAATACAATTGTGGCCTATCCTTAAAGAAAAAACAAAACCAGAAACACCAGAGCTCTAGATCACAACCACCTCTTATAAAATATTATCCTTTTAATTTCTTAAACAGAAGTACTTTATCTTTCATTAAGATACAGTATATTCTGACACTGGAGGATAGATTACTTCACTGAAAACTTTATCTAAGAACTAAGCTAATGATTTCACTTATTGATAAAAATAATGGGTTTTAGATTTATTCAATCAATATTCACAGTGTATGAATTAATCATGAATAGATGTTGTTTCATTAAAACTTAAACAATTCATTGTGGTTAAAACTGTTCAACATACGCATATCTCCAAATATTTATGGTCGTATTATTATGCACCTGTATGCATACAGGTAATAAATTAAAATTTTAAGATGTAGAGCCAGTCACAAAACAGTCTAAAAAGTTACACCTTGTATTTAGTCTTTGTTTTAATTCCAGCAGTAGCAGCTCTGTTCACTAATCCATCCCTCTAGAATTTAATTAAACATTCCAAACATGGAATTGTGTTTAAAAAAAACCCAAAAACAAAAAAAAAAAAAAACCAAACCAACTAACAAAACTATATTTAAAAACAAAATAAATTTGAAAAAACCCCAAACTTTAGTAATAAGTTTTCTAGAGAAATATTCTGGACAAGCTATATCAACTTCAGACACAAGAAGTATTTATACATGTCACTAAACAGCTCTGTTCTCCAAGATCTTCCTAACTTACCTAAAATTTCATTGCAAAGGGGAAAAACATTTTTCATTGTAATGGAGAACACTCCTTTCACACTGAATTAAGAAGTAGTGGCATAAAATCTAACACTTTACGAGCAGAAAAGCCATTCAAAACACAGATCTTTTCAGCTTTTTCTCTCAACCTCAATTTTCATGTCTAATAATTGAGGAACTAATCCTATAAAATCGGACCTTTTTAGTGTATATATATATTATATAAATGTAAATAATTTGAAGTATTTTTAATGTAAAAGTATTGCATATACAGAAAAAAATAGTAGTAAATATTATAAATCATACAATGGCTTATGCACAGTTTCATCCTTTAGTCTGATTGTTTTCAATTCATCCTGTTCAAATCCTTCTTCATAAAGCATTCTGTGTATGTCACCACATACAAAGTAAAGTAATTGTACACATTTACCAAGTTACTTTACAGGACACTGAATCTTGCTAGTGTAGACGAAACAATCTTTTCCCATATAGGACAGCTGAGAAACTAAAATCTATCCTATATAGCACAGAAAGACAAGATAAAATTTTACTAATGTTCACTCATTTCTTTCTTCATCTTTTTCGTATTCAACACAATGGAAAATAATCTTAAATCTTATATGACTTATTTCACATTCTTCTTAGAGGGCAACTTTTTAAAAAGTTAAATTTGCTCTGGAAAATGTAATGAATTAAAGAATACTACACCAATAATAGCTTGCAAATGTGTTTTGCATCGCCCACAGACTTTGAAAGACGTCAGTGTAAAACAGGCAAAAAAGATGCCAAAAATAACAGAAAATGAAATTGTAGAAAACATTTCAAGTAAATTATTTTTATATCTTGAAGTCCTTACAGTTAAGATTTTAAAATATCTAATATAGGCTCTGAAAAAAAACATTTTGGTTTTTATTTTATATACATAAAAGTAGGGAACATTCATTTAATCTATGATTTTTAGTAAAGCTAAAGATATACAAAGTGGTTCATTGTTTAAGGTTAAAATTTGGCAATATTTAACTGAAACCTAGAAGGGTGTTATCACCCTATACAATAAAGAAAATTTTATGAAAGAAACACATTAAAGTGTGGCACTGAAACGTAAAAGACACTGTCTAAAAGAACTGCTGAGAAATATGGAACATGTCAGTACAAGGAAAAAGAGGACCAGCAAATTACTAAAGGGCAAAATAACATTTTCTTAAAGAACATGTTATGTTGACCCCCTGCAGCCTTAATGTTTTAGGACTTCTAAGGAGCTGCTGTGACTCTCTATTCCCAACCAAAAACTCACTTGTTTGATGCGGTCTGGATTAACAGTGGTCTGAGGCTGTAGAATGCTGACAGGCTCTGTCTTGGCCACATTTTGAGGCATTTCTCGAATCTTCTCTGCAATGAAGCCATGAACTGCATTTAGTGCTTCAACTGTTCCCTGGATCAGACACACCCGCTCCGTAGTACCTGCAAATGCCAAAAGTTGATCTGAATAAAGTGGATTCTTCAGGATCCCACAAACGGCTTCAACTATGACACGAAGACTGAACTCAAGACACAGCCTTGTAGAACCAACTAGCAATACCTCCATAAACATACAAACGAAAGATGAGATTTCCAAAATATAACATATTGATGATCTGAAGATCTTTCCAAGCCAATCTGGATAATACAAATTGGGGGAGGGGGGGAAGAACAAATCCATCAGCTTTTGTTGGAAATAATTGCAAATATGGTAACAGTATGGTAAAAAAAAAAGTATTGTAACAGCAGAACATGTCTTTTAAATTATTTTTGGCCTAGTTCTAGGCTATTGTGAAATACTGTAAAACTTTTAGGTAGCACAAAGTCGAACATAATAGTCAGTACTATAGAGGCATTTGGAATAAACTTTTGCAAGGAGCACCTGAACTGCAAATACATTCATTTAGCATACACATTATTAGATCATTTCTTAAAACAGCTGCAAGTTGTTCCAGCAAGACCTTTCAAGGCCAACTGATCTCATATATGTAAACATCCACTTCCTCCTTTACAGTCTTCATACCTTTCAGCACTCCTGCAAAATTGCAATTATTTACTGAATACACAGAGTTTAAGCTGTCTTTAATGTGATTTAGCAGTTAGAAATGAGTAGTCAAAACCCCACAGAATGATATTTCAAGAACATCTATTTAGAGTTATGCTGAATACCATCCATGCAGGATATCTAGGCTCTGTGGGACTGCCTTCTAAGCATCTATGTTCTCAATTAGTGAGTAAATACTATAGGCTTGTCAGATAGGTCTGACAGGTGAAATACGTATTTCTTCTATCTTTAAGAACGCTAGGCTTTTGAGAGCATTGAAGCAGAGGAGGGGGCACTTTCCCACCATACTCATTCATGAAGACTGAACAGAGGCTTAAGAAAAACAGACCTCGAACATAATCCTCATTCCCAAACTCTGCAGCAAAGCGTAACCGCTGTTTCTTGTCCTTGCAGTTTTGCCTGGTTTTCAGTTCTGACCACTCTACTCTGTATCATTTCCCTTAACTTTTCAGTTTGAAGCACATTGCTTCTCTCCTGTTGGCTGTCACTTCTTCACCTTTATATCTCTGTTACTTACTCTCATCTTTAATTGACTCTTACAATGACTTGTCATTCCTCGTAGCCTGGAGAAAGTCTGATGTACCATGTTTTATCCCATCTTTTGTATACTCCATCACAGAATTTGCAATTCTATGCAGATATTAAATAAATACCATAGTTATAATAGTAGTTATAATTCTAGTTATAATATATAGAGCTACAGCTAGTTATAAGTCTCTAAAAAGACTTATACAAAGCCTACATTGCTGCATAACTCTTCCAAACTGAAATTGTTCTATCTGTATTACAAAAACACACCAGTCCTTATTTCTCTGATTTTCTAATTAAAAACGTATACAGGATGGTCAAAGATGGATGTGGAATTCTGGACAAATATTTCATTCTTTTCTGCCTAGGGAGGTTTTAGATGATTTTGTATGGCTTACTGTGGAGCAAAAAAGCTTTTCTTACATACTGGGTTACAGCTTGATACATCTAACTAGACAAAGAAAATAAATAGAAAAAGAACCCCTCCACAACAGTATTAATCCTAAGGATACAAGTATAACACTGCATCAGAACAATTCACCTTCTGTATTCCATATATCAAACCACTTAAATAGTTTCTGCAAAATCAGTTTTGACTTGAAAAACAGTATCTAACAGAAGTTGGGAAAACCAATTTAAACTTAAAAGGGAGCGCTGTAGTTTCCACTTCTGTTATTTAGAAATACCAAAACAAGACAATTAAAATTGCTTAAAAATTTCATGCAGTATATACCTCAAATAAACACATTCTGTACAGTTCCAACATATTCAAATTAAAGATTTCTCATCGTCATGTTTTTAACTTTCAAATGCCACTATAAGAGTCCTAATAACAGAAGAAAATTGAAAACATAATACTGTAATGCAAAGACAGCCCAGGTACATATCTTTATTCAGTGACAGCACACATATTGCTTTAAGGTCACAGGGAGAAGCAAAATAACAAATACAAGCCACAGAATCACCACAAAAATAAATACTTTTTTTTGTCATTGAGGTCTTCCTAGTAAATATTATTGACATGATCACACAACAATCTTTTCTGAGGAAAAATTCATTCACTCTATTTAAATAAATGAAAATTACAACGTAATAATGCTGTAAATACCCGCAAGTTTGCAAGGACTTGTGAAGTTCATGTTAGTTGGTCAGGTGATAGATGCAGAAATGCACCAGGGAGATAAGTAACCTCCTCTCTAAAATTCCATTCCTATCAATTTTATGCTTTTAGATATATCTATTGTTATCAACTCATCTTAAAATATAACACTGCAACAAAGAATTTAGCAGAGAATAGTAACTTTAGTCACCTGTAAGAAAAAAACCTTGTTTTTCATTACTAAATGCTCTTCACCTACTTTTGTGGATGATCTCAAAAAAATTTAAAATTTCATTACCTAAATATGAAACAGAACACTCAGAGCCCTGCCTGATTATTATCTTATTCATGTACACTTAAAATCTTTCAAAGACTTTGTTCTTAATAAATGGTATCCGGCAATACTAAAATTCAACTTCATGGAATAAACTACAGGAAAATTGGCAGATCGAAAACCAGACATTTTTTTCTCAATTAAGGTACGTTATTTAAAAATAATTAGGGTTAAAGTGTGTGAATCCATATCCATAGGATTAAAGTGTGTGAATCCATAGCCATTGAGATAAAACACAGAGTTAAAATGATTACACTCTTAATGGCACGTTATTCAAGTATTACAATCAAATGTATTTTTCTCAAAAGCAAGATTTTAGAACATTTATGTGACCTGTCGTAGTGTTTCTTCAAAAAATAGCAATTTCAAAACAGAGCTCATTTTTTTTCCCAAAAAACACTCCATCAAAAAAATGGAGATTGAATGATATAAGTGGAAGTCACCACAAAAAAACCCTCAGTTCCTACATGAAGCTTTCTTAATACTTTCTGTTTCCTCCTTACTTGGCTTCCTCCCCCTTCAGCGAACAACTCTGGCGGTTTCTGCGTAAAGCAATCCAGCCCTAAGAAAATGCTCTGGGGAGTCTTTCCGCGGCAGTATTAATTGTCTCCTAAATGATGAGATGTGATGGGGATTGATCAATGCAGCTAATGCAAGTGTTCTCTAGGTCAGCAGACAACACACGGAAACAAAACACAGCTCAGGTTACGTCCAAAGCTGTACGGAAAGCACTTAACGGGGATGACTACTGTCAAAACATTTGAAAGGAAAAGGGTTGATGCTAAATAGGAATTTCATTAGACTTGACACTAAGTGTCTAAAGGGTATTCTACAACGTGGGTTATTTTAGAAGGTGCGATACAATAAAGATATGCTTTATGTCATTCTGTGGACCAAACACACCGCAGTCCAGTCTGTACAACTAGGGCGCAGTACACAAAAAATCTGTGTTCCAGGAAGAACTACAGTTGTGCAAAAGCACACTTCACGCAGACTAAGACACAGCGTTACAGCGCACCACAATAGTAGCACGTTTTCTTTGAAGGTTGTGTCAACTAAAAAAAGTGGGGAAAAAAAAGTGCGGAGAAATCGTATTCGTGTACCTTTGGGAATTGCTTTAATCTTCTGAAGTGATGTTGTAGTATTCCTTCACACAACTAATAGCTTTTCACTCAGATAACAGAGTACAATAACTTACAAGAGTCACACAAAAGGGAAACTGCCAGCTACATGACCAACCTGTGTAACAAAAAACAAGCCTATGAATCACTAAAGTTGGTGAAATTTCTGTCATTTTAAAAGCTTTTTGGCTCCATTAGTGTCTGAAGTAAACTGTCAGACTGTTTATCATTTTAAGTTGATTAACAGTCGCATTCACTTTTTCACATTTCTGCGAAAAGCTCAGCCTTCTATGTGCATTCTTTTTGTAATACAATTTTGGAAATGTCTTTAAAATACAGTTCTGTTTTCAGAAATAGCTGACTTAGACACAGACAATTTACCAAATAATCAGTGTCTTTCTTGTGTGTGTGTGTGTGTGCAAACATAGCTGATATAAAATTATTCAATTTTTAAAATTATTTGCAATTCCAATTGGTGATCAAGTCATATATTGTACATTGTGTTTTACATATGATGAGACACATCGTACACAAACGAAGAATAATTCTGCCACAGAAAATGACCAGATACCGAGTAGGAAGTCATCATCCCTGCACATTCAAAAAAACAGAAAAAAATATTTTTTGCATCTTCATTAGACTACAGTCCATAACAGAAGTCTGTGTGTGGTTGAAAAATAGAAAAAAACACCATCTAAATACATGCTGCTAACGACGTTGCTACAATCATTTCATGCTTACTTTTTCTAAGGAACCCAAAAAATTATGCAGTATTTGAATGTGCTCTACTTTTCAGCAAGTAAAATGTGGCTTCTTTCCTGTTATATCAGAATTCAAATTCAATTTGCACATGTATGGTTTAACTTTTTCTTATTAAATAAAAGTAGCAGAATGTAATTGTACAAAAAAGCCTGTCTGTATCGCTCACCAAAACCAGATTTTTAAAACTAACGGAGAAAAAACAAATCTTACTCAGTTTTTTTGTTTTGTTTCGCTTTTAGCGAGACATTTTTTTGGTCTAGTTTCTTAATATGAAAATAGACATAGCATTATATAAAATATACTTTTTCTCTGCAGTTCCATAGAGGAGGAAAGATGAAACCATTAGCAGTCATCAGGCAATTTAAAAGTAAAAAACCCCTGTTTTGAAATCTAGTAACTTAGGCCTAAAAGCTAGGCAGCTTTCAATAACTTTATTTTATTCATTTTTCCTTCCATCTCCTTTAACTATCTACAACTTTACCTCTCACAAATATCCTTGGCAAACACATTGCACTAATTTTATTAAGAACTTCAAAACAACAGGCCAAAACTTTCTCCTCTAAGAAGGCTGTTATTTACTTATTAGACAACCGATATAGCTTTTAAAACAACCATTAGAATAAAAAGTAGAACACACAACACCATGAAGAATGCTGATGCTTTTCAGTGTTTTTATTTCTATACTTAACAGGCATACATCTACATAT